ACCTAGGGGCAATCCAGACCGAACAACAGCTTCTTAATCCATTGCAGCTGCAATGCTTCTGTCTGAATTGCCGGGTCAATCAGCCCGAGCCCCCCCCCAGCTTTCAGCTACACGATCGATTCCCATGCTACGCGGCTGATTACATTGGTTTTTTCGCAGTCTCCTCGCCAGAGGAAGGCCTCAACCTTGGTCCTCGGTGCTTTCATGGCTACTTTACTCGTGGGCCAAAGCAAAGACTTGTACCATAAGGATGCCAATGCCACATTATTAATTACCAACACCCTGCCGAGGCGGGAAGTGGGCTTGTCCTTCCATGCCATCCGCTCGTTCAGGGCTGGAGCGCCAACCCATTCGCCATTCATAGCCGGGAAGCCAATTGATGTCATCGATACGCCCAAAATTATGAGTGGGGCTGGTTGCAACAATTAACGAACAGAAGAAAGGGAAAGAAGTTGAAGAAGAGAAAAAAGAAGAAAAGAAAGAAATTGGCAAGCCCAGTGGCAATGAAAATGGTAATGGAGGAAATGGACGCCCGAGACCTAGCGGTCTCAAAGCTCCATCCCCTCCACATGTACCCTCTCCTAGTGCAGCCCCCATGTCCTACAATATGGCCTACTGAAACCCAAGGTCTTCAATGGTAGAAAGGAAGATAATTTGGATACCTGGATTGTTGAGATTTACACCCACCTTGCAGGTTCTTTTGTGGATCATCCTGCCCATACATTGGTAGCTACTAACTTCTGGGTGGAGATGCCAAAGACTGGTGCTGAGTGAAGTGAGGAATGTTGGGAAGCCGCAGAGAGTTGACTTGAGGGCTGCCAAGCTCATGTCACACTTTGGCGATAAGACCAAAGCCCAAAACGGGTATTACCAAGTCACTGACCTTGATGCAATCTGGTGGAGGTTTGTGGATGCCCTGGTAAGACAGCTGGACAACCTCCTGCAGATTGAGGGGTTTGGTGTGGATGAGTGGCAAACTATGAGGATACGCGCTCGATGTCTGCTTAAGACTGTGAGGCAGACCATGTTCACATTGTATGACATTGGGCAAGTATCCTACCAGGAGTTTAAGGAAGAGGCTTTGAAGAGAGAGGGATGGTTGCTGAAGTACAAAAGATTTGATGAACTGAAGTACTCAAACTTTAGGCCGGGTGCTTTCCATGAAGGGAAGCGCATTACTTATACACAGAGGACCCCATATCACCTGCTTGTGGTTCTCTCTGATGGGGTGTTTAAGATCATCCCATCAGACTAATTTGAGCCTGAGGAGGGCTCTATTGGGAGCAGCAGTGTGGATTCTGGAGGGGAGAGTGCAACGGTCAGTAGGGGAGGCCATGGTCGGGGGGTGCTAGAGGCCCTGGGAGAGGAGGGGGAAGACAACAACAACAGCAACCAGCCCTTGAGCCTTGGTAGAGGTTAGGTCTCTCCAAAGACAAATATGAATACAGAACGAGGACTGATGTTTGTTTCAAATGTGGTGAGCAGCGCCACAACATTTGCTTTTGCCCCCTCAGAAAGGTAGAAGAGAATGACTGGTAGAGGGTGCAGACCGTGCAACCCTTTTACCCTGTATGCTAATGTATGTGATGATTTAGAGAGAAACATGGCGACCACCATATCTGACCCTCCACATCAGCAGACTACGACACTGGTTGTACCAGTCTCACATGTAGCATGCTCTCCAGATATCAGTAGTGTCAGGATCTATCTACCTCTGTCACCAGATAATATAGCAAAGGAGTTGATCGCCCTCAACAGATTGAGATGAGTCAGAGGAAGGGAGAGTTGGTATTGTTTCGTATCGTCTAGGTGGTAGGACTCTAGGAGCATTGGTAGATTCTAGCTCCACCAGATCCTACATTAGTAGACATACATGTATGTGGCATGCCTGATTCCATGCAGAGTCTTGATAAGCCGATTGTCAGTACACTCGCGAACAAGTGTCCGGTTGTTATGAATGAGTGTGTCAAGGAGGCACATTATGACTTCTGGCTGAGGATGAGAAGGTCACCCTTCTCCCAACCCTCCTAGTGGAAAAGAAATTGCCCTTTGACTTGATTCTTGGCCAGGATTGAGGCTATGATGCACATTGTGTGGTAAGTATGCATGATAAGGACTGCAGTATAACCACTCCCACTAAAAGTCAGGAAGAAGGTCAAATTGTATTTTCCTTCTGTACCACACAGCCCCATGTCAGTATATTGTATGGTGCCCAGAAAAGCATGTGTTTGTAGCAGTAATTAGTGTCAATAAGAAATGTAAAAGGTTTAAAGTAGATGTATTGAGAGAGCAAAACCACAATAAGAAGAGAAAGAAAGCAACCCTGTTCCTCAACGATAACGAAGGAGTATTGTGGCATTGTAAAGAGAACCATCCAACACGTAAATTGATGTATTGCATGGTACTTCACCTCCTAAAGGTCTCAACTATAGGATGTCCCCTGTTGAACTTGAAAATCTGAAGAATCAATTACCAGAACTGACTGGAAAAGGATGGATACACCTTATCAATTCTCCATATCGAACACCTGTCTTGTTTTTCCAAAGAAAGGTGGGAACTGAGGCTATGCATAGATTTATTAACAAAGGTTTGAACGCTATCACAATGAAGAAGGTTAAGCCACTGCCTATCATAGATGACATGTTGGACAAAATCTAGGCAGGCAATGTGTTCAGTAAGATAGATTTGGAATCTGGTTACTATTAGATAAAGGTTGCAGGTTTAGATAGGCATAAGACTGAAACGGTTTTCACCTTTTAGCAGTAGCGGATGCAGTACCCAGGGTTCGATCCCTAGACCTCACCCTACCCATGTACAGTATCTGTGTAGACCCCGAGAATTGAACCTGTGACCTGTGTATTCGTAGGCAGTTGGTAG